AGCCTAAAGCAGAGGCAGGCTGCAAGAAGAGATAGATGAGGTATTAGCTGTGATATTTTTCAGCGGGGGCTGAGAAGGCCCAGCAGTGGGCTCGGCAGAGGCAGATGCTGCCACCTGAATATTAAGCCTGTTAAATGAAATGTCCTCTGTGAAGAAGCCTTAATGGAAGTTGAAATATGGCACCTTTCACCTGTGTTTGTGCATTACAGAGATGAGCACATGTTCATCTTGGGATATGACATGTGTATCAGTCTGAAAGCAGGGATAAGAGAGAAGGAGGCAGCTTTGATAGTCTTTCAGGGATGTGAAACAGGTGCATCTGTGGGATGGTAATTTAACATTTGGATGTGATTTTGGTTTCAAATTAAAATTAGGTAAGGACACAGGCATAATTGCTTTAAGGAGTCCTTTCAAAACAGCTCAAACACATGGGGCTACTAATGAGTCGAACTTCATTAAACACATAATGCCAACTTGTATGGAGCATCTGACTCTCGAAATGACAAATGTTTCTGGGTTTGCAGCAACAAGGAACGGTTTAAGCACTATTTATTTGAAAAGAATTATCTCTTTTAGCCCAGAACATTTTTTTTACCTTGACAGACCAGTGCACTGCCCACAATATCACGGACAAACCCCGATCTGTCTGTTGAATTTGTGAACAAGATATTTGATCTCCTGGAGACAGGGTGTCCCCAATTTGGAAAGGTGGTATCCACATTTTTCTGGTTGACAATCATGGCCTCAGAATGAGAGGAATCTCTCTATCCTGCTTCACATCTGGCTCTTCAAACACCAAGAACAACATCAACACCGCTGGTTCTAAAAGCAATGTTTAGACCCTGAGGTTCAAACTCAATCCATCCCACTGCTCTAACTCTATGCCTTAAGATCCTATCTTTGCCCCAGGATCAGCAGGGTTTGCTTTGCCACTAATGGGGCTATATAAGGACTGAATAGCCCTTAACATCATGTCCAGGACACCATACTCCTGCAACACCGCAGGAGTTGCAGGAGTATGGTGTTTTTTTAGAACCACATCAACCAAACTCACACACTGTCCTCCACAACTCTGTAAGGGTAAAAATGTGATCCACTATTTTATGGCCAAGAGAAAAGCCACACTGCTACTCCTAAATGCTTTAACAAGTAAAGCAAAGGCTGCACAATTTATAAACTTTGTCTTGTAAAATTTGTAATCTGTCTAGAATGATCCACTAAATAGCCCTTTAGTCTAACAAGTCCCATCTTTAACATCATTAAAATCTATAAGTTATTAAGTCGTGACATTCCCACAGTGCATACATATCTTCTTGAATTCTGAGTACCTTTAATGTTTTCTTGCAAAAAAAAAGATAAAATTAGTGCAAGCTCTTTTAGTATTTATTAGCCATCAACACAAAAGAACTCCAGAACTGTTTCCCTTCCGAATAATATAAATAATATAAATATCACTCTTATAATACAAATAAGAGTGTCATAAGGGTGTAAAGATTAATGCACTTGCCTTCTTATTAAGGATGATAGTATTATTATTATTATTGTTGTTGTTGTTGTTGTTGTTATTATTGCATTATCCTAATTAGAATATAATAACTTAGATCAACTTAGACACAAATTCTGACAGCTACTGAATCATACGACAGATTTCACATTGAAATATATCTTGCCATTTTAGTATAGCAAGATCTTTTATTATTTTGCTATTCTAATATACCCATACATCTGTCACATAAGAGTGTATTTCTACATTTTTGAATATTACTAGTTAGTCCTATTTTCAGAACCACAGTGTTTACTCCTAAACAGAAAGGGAAGGACCTGTCCCTCTTTCTGCAGCAGATGTAAATGTAATCTTTACCTAATGAGAATCTGAGGCTGCCTTTGTAATGTTGCAGGCATCTAATGTAGAAATCTGCAGGGAATATCTCTGAGATCCAACTTAAATGAGAAAATAAATTGATGGTCAAATTGCATGTGGGTCATATCTCCACTTATGGGAACTCAGATCTGCTTTTAGTTGCCTACGTAATGGACACACAAAAAATGCATTCACAATCAAGTTTGGATTGTTTCATGCAGAGTGTTCTCAAGATATTAAATTCAAAATTACAAAGTGCATTTTGAAACCTATCTCTGCCTCTGTTTCCTTGCTCTTCGCTTTGTCTTCCTCAGTCACAAAGATGATAAACACACCTATTACCCACAATGCATCTGTTTTATTCCACCAGTAAAGCAGGTAAATTAAATCTGTAGCTCTACTTTCTGAGATTCTGGCCAGCAGCCAGATCAGTTCAGCATCTTTCTCTGTTTCCAGGCACTGTGAACAAATTTGTAGGCTTTTAGGGGCTCGCTGCAACTAGACAGCAGTGACACACACAGAGGCATCAGAGAGAGTCGCTTATGCAACCATGGTGGACAGGAGGAGCAGTGAAAAGAAAGCTCCCCACTATTATCTGCAATTTCTTTCTTCAGGAACAGAGATGAAACACTGAACCCTACATCGTTTTATTTTGGCAATGTCTCTGAGGTAGTTATTGGTTAGATTTCAACCATGCTTGCAAATAATGAATGGAAGTATGCAGAGGGTTGTCAAAAAGAGTGAACAAAAAAATAAAAAGAGTAAAACTTTGTCAAACCCTTTGTTGATTTTTAGAAATTTAACTTTTTTTCAGTGTTATTTTTCTGTTTCTATGTGCTTTCACCGCTACACATGACCTTTACCATTTCAGGCTCTATCATCTTGTGGGCAACTGCAGTGAGTCTCCATCAAACAGAGGCACACAGTGTAAACTCATGACTTTTTGCAACATGTACATGTTATAAAGAGTGATATAAAACATTTTAAACATTTGTCTTAATAAATGCCTCAATTAAACAAAATAAAAATAAATCTTTCAAAAATTTGTTTCTCCTTGATAGTTATGGGAAAGACTGCTGACTTGACAGTTGTCCAGCAGACAACCAGTCATTGGCACCTTGCATAAGGAGGATAGGCTGGAAAAGGTCATTGCTACAGAAACTGGCTCTTTAGAGTGCTGTATCCAGACATATTGATGGAAAGCTGAGTGGAGGGAGAACATGTCACCCGTCCATCACAGGGCAGTAAGGTTACACACAGGACAAAAATCCACACATACACACACACGCTCATGACTAAGGGTAATTTGGAGAGACCAATTAATCATGTTTTTGGACTGTTCAACGGTGTCTGAGTACCTGGAATCTAGATGAGTTTACTTGTTTTTCAGTTGGATTATGAGAAAATTATTTCAATTATATTCTGAAATACAGAGAAGCACCTTTATAAATGTATATATAACATGTAATTAACCTCTCTGTGTGCAAAATTATTTGTAGTAATAAGCCATGATATTACCATAATTTGGATTATTTTTATCATTTCCAAAACAGTGTAATTTCACATAGAAAACAAGTGTTATGTTATGCCATAGTTGAGAGTATATATCATAAGTAGGTTTTACAATAACTTCCTGTCATTGTAAAAGGTGTTTTGTATGGTTCCAAGCGAAACGGCCTTTCCATGATTTATCTCGAAGCATAAAAACTTACATTCAAAAGCCTGTAGAGCATGCAGAGTTTTTAGTACGCTTTCTCTTTTTCCTTTCAGCATTTCCTTTTTTTGAGACTTTAGGTACCATTTGTGATGCAATAGAGTGGCTGACGATCATGGACAATGTTGTATGCTTCATAAAAATGCCAGTCCTTAAGCCCGCTCTGTGTTGTGTTAAGCAGCATTTATTCTCACTGCAGCGATCTCGTCGCGTATCCACATTGCTGTCAGAGTCATGTTACTTCTTTGAAAAGCCATCAGGATTTGTCTTTGTCAGCTGCCTGTCCCTCAGTCCATTAAAGTTGATTGATAGAAGTAGAAAATGTCCCGCCCAGCTGTTGTCGTTGACTCATCCCAAGGAAGTTGAAAGGAACTCTAAAGTGGACCATCCCTCATCAATAAGAGCCTTTGTCTGTGTTCATAATGTGAAGCAAAATAGATGTCTGGGGAATTTTTCTATTTTCTTTTCCGGGTGTTACCATGAAGGATTATTGTGTTACAGATGAAGATACTGATTAGAGTCAAATGTTTTTGTTTTTTTTCCCCTGAGCAATGCTGCAGACGTTTTGAGTCCCTTACTAGCATTGGTTGGAGGAAATCTGGGATATATGATTCCACCAGTGGTCAAATCCAAATAAAAACCAGCCCAAAAAAAAACAGATCTGTCCATGTTTTCTTCTTTTTCTTCTTCTTCTTCTTCTTCCTTCCTCGGTTATCTTCTAATAGCTCTCGAGGATTTCTACAGGACAACTTGAGGAGGATTTTATGATATTTCAGTGTGATTGATAACATGCTGTTGGAGGGATGTCAGGCTTTCAGAGACAGATAATGTGGATTTCTATCTCTCTGCCTTCTTGCGTAAGATGTGCCATCAATCAAGTGTATCGTGTCCTTAACCTGATAAAATTAAAACCTTTAAGGGGGGTGGGAGACCTGGGGTCTCCAAAGAACTAGGACACACATCAACACAGAGCATGACAGGTCCACAACATAGATCCAAATCATGCAAGGCTCACTGCAAGGATCAAGGGAGAAAATAAAATTAATGATCCAATTCTATATTGCTGTTGACAGAGGAGAGAGATTACAGAAAGAACGGTCTCATTTTCACCCTACGCTAGGGGGTTATTAGATCTTGGCCCATCTAATTTCATTTCAAAGGTTGTCAATATTTACCAGCAACAGGCACAGCTCACCATAGCAGAGCTAGTATCCCTATAGGAAAGAAAACTTGAGAACATTTTAACACATACAAATATAGTTACTAGATTCAGCCTTAAAATGTTCAGCATGCAGTAAGATCTTTTTTTCAAATGATAAAGGACTCAGAACTACTTATCCCAGCGTGTCTGAGATATGTGGATCTGCAGGTCTTGCATTTTTCTCCTCAGGTAGGCCTTACCTTATTTTTTTGTGTGTGTTTCAGTTGACGGCTGCATACACAAAGCGGCAGGGTTCTGTCTGTATGATGAGTGTCACTCACTAAATGGCTGTGAAACCGGCAAAGCCAAGATCACCTGCGGTTATGATCTCCCTGCAAGATGTGAGTATCAGTAATTATTTCCCTCTTTTTTTGTGATTGCTCTGTAATGTGTGTGGTGGTGCCTTGCGGAAATGTTCTCTAATCAAATCTTCTACCTCTGAGGGCTAATGATTGGAGAACAATAGCTTTTATTGGTAAACAGTGGAATATTAGACTGTTCCGTACAATTCGCCTAAAAGCTTTAATTTGAAAATATTTGAAATGAAGAACCTGCTTTTAAATTGCATATGTGATCATTTGTACACCTTTTTATCTTTTCAATAAAATTAACTGCTAGCCCGCTAACTTTTATATTCTGGTTCATTGCTCACAATGATGGTGAAGAAAGAATAAAGGCAACTGAGCACAACCAGAAAATGCCAAACATTATGGTGTTATGTACAGAACTAAACTCAGGCATAGATATGCAACACATTGAACACACAAATAGTAGAAAATAGTTGTTTCAGACAGTTTACAGCTGTGCGAACTCATAAGTTTCAGACTTATGGGTTCACACATTTGAAAATGTATGGATATTATATATTTTTCCCTATTCTTTTGAGACACCACTGACATGTCCTCTATCCTTTAAACGCCACTCACTAACATACTGAATGGTGCAAGTCCATGTTAGTCAACATTCTTGTGATTCTCCACATGCTACTTTGTAACTTTTTAGCTAAGCTTAGCATTGATGCTTATTTTCAGCATCAGAACGCTGGCCCCGGTTAAATTTCTTCAGGAATTTTCTAGTTTAAATTGTCATTTTTTTTGCTCAGACACCAAGAAAAAAATGGCTCCCTTTAGCTGCATATTTATTGTATTTATATTGTTTTAATGATTCAATGTAGCTAATTCCATGTACTATTAGTGGGTTAAAAAAAAAAAAAAGTTGAAATCACTTTATTTTCTTACCTCCTGATCTCAAACATGCGGGTTCTGAGGTGTTCTGGGTGCCCAAGGTGGTCTCAACTATGGCGGTTGAATTGCTTTTGTTCTAGCTACTTAGTCTTTGATTGTTCCTTTTTTTGAAGGCAGAATTGCAGTTGTGTCATAATGTTTACAGTTCTTTCCTTCATAGCAGCATCATTGTGTACTCAGCACTGTTCTTCTATGTTCCCAATGAGTGCCCACACATCGATTTAAACAATTCTCAGTAGAAAAGTTTTTCTTTGTCAGGAAATCAGTTTTCTGTTTACAATTGGAAGTCATTCTGTGCTGTTCCAAATGATGTAAATGGCAGAACATTTCCGTTTTAATGAGGCTTTTTATGTTATAAAATTCTGTTTGAAAGTTACTAATCTGCTTTGAATAAACAATTAAAAGGCTGATTTTGATGTGCTTGTTGGTTTAAAGATTGTTCAGCTATCTGATTCTAAAAGCTGACAAGTAACCTTTATTTTAAAAAAAATCAGTTCTACTTATTGAAATCATACTATCCTGGAGTCTGACTTTAGAACTTTGTTGTCTTTCTTGTGAAACACAAAAACTCAATCTTTATAAAGGTCTTGAATGCTAAATCCTCTGCCCACAGTAGACACTTCAACTGTCTGATGCTTAATACCACTTTCAGATGAAGTTGACCCCAGCCATTCATGAATGTTATTTTTGCATTAATTCCTGAGCACAACATATCTGTATTTTTGAAGAAACTTTGGAAGTATATTGGTCTTGCTAACTGTTTTTATTGCATCTGTGAAGTTTGAAGCTGTTTTTGTCAAGTTCAGGGAAGAAAAACTGTTTTAATGTATGTATGTAAGTAGTTATTTGCAGTAACTACTTTAATCCAAATTAATGTAATTTAAGGATAATTAATGTAGTTGGAGCTTGTGGTAGACTGGAGTTTTTGTTCATGTACAAAGGTAAGGCATGAGCTATTAGCTACTTAATTTGATTGATTCTTCATACCTGATTTAGTCTACAAACAGATAAAAATACCACAACAGAAATTCAACTGTATTTTTATTAATTTATCCAGTCTGTTGACCTCGTTTGTTTCTCGTGTCATCCTAAACAGACTTCCCTTTTCTCTTGGCAAATGTCCTTCATTATGTCACATTTTAAACTTTGTCATATGCTTATTTCTTTTACGAGAAGTGTCACTGGGTGTAATTCGGTCGAGACAAATGTCCCAGCAGTCCTAACCTAACCCTGAAGGATTTCTGAGAGACAGCCAAGAGAAGATATTGAGGCTCAGATGAAATTAGGTTGTGTTAATATGCTATGTTGTAAAGATGTCAAACAAATGGAGCAGAAAAACTGTGAGAGGGTGCTTTGGGCAGCCAGTTCAAGTGTGTTCAGCTCTGAAGCTGCTTGCACCATGACAATTTAATAACCTCCTGTGTCACATGGTAGCAATCATTGGCTGTTGTTGTTGTAATTATTTCCAAACAGAACAGCTCCTCTATGCAGGTTACCTTGTTGAAAGTTGTATTTAAATTGATCTTATTTAGTGTCTTTACTCTGATGGAGAGAGCGTCTTCCAACTCAGATCACCGCCAACATCACCGTTGTCACTCTTCTGTTCTTGGAAACTGTCAAACACTTCGCTTTGCTTTGTAAACACTCCAGTTCTTATTATCTACCCACTGATTTCTTTTTTCTTGATTAATTAAATTCTCTTTTTGACATTTTTGTTCCACCTACGTGCACAATGTAAAATTGTCTTGACTGGAAACAACTATCTGTTGAGTGCATGAAAGCTGAAATACTAGACTGTTCACCCCCTCACCACTGGAATGAGTAAATAAACAAAAAAAACACAAAATTTCTAAACCTGTTTTGATTATTGGAAATCACTTTCAGACTTATAAGAATAGAAAAAGATCCACTGAACCTATGTACTTTAATAGAAGTATATTATTTGCTAACTGTTGTGAAACAAAGATAATCTTAAAAAATACAACTTTCTAAGAAAATAGAGTCCAACAATCCAGCTAATGAAAAAAGAGCTGATATCATTCTGTACCCATTAATGCCTTTGATGTATTTTATAAAACTAAAAAAACTTGTAAGTATGAAAAAGGCTCAAACTGAAATTGAGAACCATCATTCAAAAATAGGAACTCACTGAACAGGAGTGAATCTTTTCAGAGATAGCCGACCCTCCAAAATAACTCTAAAAGTGCATCAAAGGTTACAAAATGCATTTTTGCCATGAATATTGAAATTTATCATCTTCTTGTAGTCTTTTTCTGTGCTGTAATTTTGAAAATGTCACCTGTATTTAATTGAACAATGGTTATGCTGGTCCAGTTTATTTTTGTTAAAAATTTAAAATTCCAATTTCACTCCTGCAGATTAAACAACTGATGAATAATAAACCTGTTTTCCTGCATCCTCAAAAGCAAGTTTCTCTCCATATCGAACTTAGTAGCTGATCTCAAAACAGACTTCTCCTTATTTTGAGGTTTGACGTGCAGAGGCAGTGGAAAATGACCTGGTAACCCAGCCCATCTTTTCTGCCTCCACCCCCCACCTCTAAAGACAAGAAAATTACTCTTCATTACATCTCACTGAAGCAGTTTAGGCTGCGAATCCCAGTGACAAAATGAGACTTTCCTTTAAGCAGGCTACAGACATATGCAGCTTATTATTTTAGAGCCAGCCCTGGACTATTAATCAATGACGGTAATTACTCTCCTACCATAGCAAAAAGACTTCAAAAAACAATGTCTGCTATATCAATCTGGAAAAGAGTTTGACTATTTGTCCTGTTGTTGGATGGTTAGTCATCTGTTAGTGGTCAAGTGTAGCAATTGGAGCCACTTATGTGGATATGCACTTTATTGCTTCATTATTCCTTCATTATCGATGCTGTGGCTCACGCCTAAAAAAATCACTAAATGAAATATTTATATGGGCTTACGTCTTCAACACTGTCTTCATTGATAAGTTTTGAAAACTGGCTCCTAATTATACATTACTGGAATATGTATGTGATGTTTTTGGTAAGAAGTTATTTATTCTGCATTTCATGTGTAGCACTATGTATTTTGCATTTATTTACATTATCTTTGTTTTAGATTAAGAGTCTTTGGTTATGTAACCAATTGAATGGCATCTTCCTGATGCATTGATGCATTTGTGGAAGTCAACTTGGAAGAGAAACTATTTTGGGGAAAGATAACTATCTTTTATTCACCTTTTTTGCCCTTTTGTAATCAATATTCTCACTCATTTTGAGTGGATCTTAAAACCGGTAATGTCTGTGTCTGAATGGGTGTTGGCTAGTCAGGCAATTTTTAGTCTGTTCTCTTTCTGGCTATTGGTAAGAGGAAGCCGCACTAATCCTGCTAAATTTGCATTCAGTCCCACAGGGCCCCTCTGATCTAATGGAGTCTTTTGACCAAAGCCTGATCGTAATGTTTTCATCAGTCCCAAAAAAAAAACTGCAAAAGCCTCAAATCAGTATTTTTTTTCTTTTATAGCTTCTGCAATTAGCTCAATAAAAATTTACCTTTGGGGAATTATCAATTACTTTGATTACAAGTACGACTTTGACGTAATTTTCTTGTTCTTACATTTCCTTCACCTTTGAAATAATAAAACAAAAAATAAAATATAAAATGTATGTGCGAATGTGTTTTTGGTCAATAAAGTGTTCCTATGCAGTGGAGATGGAAAATTGTGTTCCTGTTAAGTAGTGGTACCATTTCCTCCTGAATGGTACTTGTCAGTATGCACCACTTAGTGGTGAACATTTGGTTGAACTCGAGAATACTGCTGGATCTTGAACTTGTATGACTCTGCTGTGACACAGAGGAAAGAATATTCATCCTCTCACTGAACTGGTTGCAAGTAGTCATGGATGCCTATTAACTTTCAACTCTGAACATTTCTGAAATGTTCTCTGCAAAGTAAAACATCCTGCAGCAGTTAGAAACTTACTCTGGTTATGGAATAATGTATTCATTTTAGAATCTTATTTATTATCTGTCATGACATAATTATCTAAATGTCTTCAATTATCTTTAAGAACAAAAGCTGTTTTGTCTTTTATTCAGTATCAAAACTAT